TGTTTAGTTAACACTCGAAGGTGATTGGGCTCTCGGGCGAGATCCCAATTCATCAGTCACGACTGACGTAACGTCTCCGTTCCATCCTTCAGGGAACGAGGGTTACACAAGTAACCTAGACGTTTCTCATAATTAGTGCAAATTGTCACATGACCAGATCAGTTTACTTCCTGTTTGCGTTTTGAGAAGATGATGACTGCATCAAAGCTCCAAAACAAAAGACTAGTAAAGTATGTTAACATAAAGATATGACAAAAATTTTTGGTCCACATTATCTTTAAGGTGTGTAGTATTAATATATGAATTCACATATATTCAGTTTTGTTGAGTGTGGTCATAGAATGAGGAAACATGTTGATAGTCAATAGTGACGGTGGGATAACAGTGAACTTAGGTTTACATATAATGACATCCGGCGCTGTTCATGTGGCAGCCGGCAGGGTTGTGCGTCTAATGGCCCGTTGTTTTGTTTATTTAAGTGTCTTTAATTGCCCCTTGTGGGATTAATAAAGTTGTTAACTTAACTTGAATCCAATCGCAGATGTTAGTGAAAATTACACTGACATGTTGCAATGACAAAATATTGCACTAAATTAAAAGTTCAAATGTTACAAATAAGTTACAATATTGATGTTGTAATACTGGTAGCACTAATATAAAAATTGGATGATATATGTTACAAAATGTTTTTTGAAAATATGTTTTTTTTTTGTCTTTTCTGTCAGTGTACTGTAGCTATCAATGTTGTATAAGGGTTTTTTATGCTTAATAGTACTTCATACTTTTGATGTATTTATTCACACATGAACATAACGTGTCTGATTCATTGTGTTTTCTCTTTCTGTCTTCAGTCTGTGTGATTGCAGTATTACAGAGAAACAGTGTCTCATCCTGACTTCAGCTCTGACATCAAACCCATCACACCTGAGAGAACTGAACCTGAGCGGGAATCAAATAAAAAACACAGGAGTGAATCACTTATGTGACGTACTGAAGGAGTCACGCTGTAAACTGGAGAGATTGAGGTAAAAAACATTTACCAAAATGAAAGAAACAAGTGTTTTGGTATTTGACTAAAACAAAATGAAAAGTTTGTTTTTTGTTCATATTTCTCCCAAATGTAGATTAGAATACTGTGAAATGACAGATGAGTGTTGTTCTGCTGTGACTTCAGCTCTGAAATCAAACCCATCACACCTGAGAGAACTGGACCTGAGCGGGAATCAAATAAAAAACACAGGAGTGAATCACTTATGTGACGTACTGAAGGATTCACACTGTAAACTGGAGAGGTTGAGGTCAGTAACATTCACAGACAAGAATCAAAATTATTAAAATCACTTTGTTTAACCCTTAAGCGCTGTTCAAGGTCTTTTGAGACCCCAAATTATGGTTGCTGAAATAAAAACAATTTGTTTTCCCTATATCTAAATGGTATGAGACTTTGTACGGTTGTCAACACTTGGTAGCTCTAAAAATAGAGAATTAAACTGGATTGATATCTGGTTGTGTGTTAGTGTGAAATAAACAGTCACTCTCTGGAGACCCCACATTGAAATGAATGAGGAAATGATCAAATCCATACTTTTTCTTCTTAATTTATCAAATAAAATCAATAAAATCAATAAATCCACCACAATTCTGACCACAAAATACATGAAAATGAAGTGGCAGCCCTTCCACACATTCACTGCAGAACGATTACGCTCGCACACACACACACACACACACACACACACCCCAAAAACCACCCATAGACATCAATGGGAGACTATACAAATGTTGATTTGATAATGATAATTTGTCAAAAATGTCAGTTACAATGCAGACAACAAGCGGTGACACCCCAGCACATCCACGATGGAGGAAAACACACATGACCCCCAACACCCCCGAAACACATAAAACCCACTCGTAAGAAATGAAAAAATTGACATAACATGAGTGGCTCTCTCTTACATAATTTGTCAAATAAAAATCAGCTACAATAAAGAACACACACAGAAATGATGGAGGGACACCACAGCACATCCACGATGGAGAATAAATGCAAAGACACACACACACACACTAATACACACACATCACACCACATACACACACACACACACACACACACATACACACTAATACACACACATAACACCACATACAGGTTTGACCTAATCATGTCATAATTGCAAAAATGTGTATACATAATTGTAAAAAAAATGCTAAACTTGACAGTCATTTTATATTATTACAATAATGATTTCATAAATCTCTTAACAAATCTAAATAAAACAACTTGAAACTTGAAAAGATCTATAGCTGTGTGGAAATGGTAAACAAGCCATTGAGTAATGCTCTCGAGTCATCTGTGGCTGGAGTTAAAATCTAGTGTTTTTTTATTTTAAAAGTGATTATTTTCAAATAAATGGAAGCAGTTTGGCATTAAACTATGGCACATTGGCCATGTTATCCCCATTAATTAAAATTAGGAATGTGGGTCTTTTATAAAGTGAATTTTACATAAAAAGCTCCTTTTGTATAAAAACCTATATATGTTTTTTATTTACATAAATTAAAAAATAAAATATCATAAATCCTTAAAAAAAACTGCACAAATGTGGAGTAAAAACATTAATAAACTGAGTAAAATTACATTTGTTTACAAAATGAGCTTGTGGTCCCTGTGTTCTCTGGAGACCCCAAACAGCACGAGTGTCCTCCCCAAAACAACAGCGCATAAGAGTTAAACAACACTTTATACTCAATATCTCATGATGAGTGGGTTTATGTGTTCACATTATATTTGTGAAAGATTCTTCACCTTAATGATTTGTTTGTAAGCTCTGATATGTGAACAAATATTAGCTTTCAAATATTTCTTAAAGGAGATTATCAAATTATCATCAAGCTTTGTTTCAAAGGGTTTGTGTCAGAATGAAATGTAAAGGTGATCAAATGTTGAACACAAAGGAGGAAAGAGAACAAAAGCAGACCGTCACAGCTTTATACAGCAGCAGCTGCTTTATTAATGACATCAGTAATAGTGAATCATTACAGTTTGAAATAGATTTGGTCAGATTGTAGGAAAACGCTGGTAAAATCAGAGCAGATTCCAGCTTCAGCTCACAGTCGTCCAGCATCACATGATCAATGTCTCTGTCTCTTGTGTGTTTTTACTTTGACAAGCAACACGTCACATTACTTTACACTTACTTTATGTAAGAGATAATGTACCTGCAGCCGCTTGTTATCACAGAATAAACCCAACGGTGATCAGGACTTGTGTCCTCCTGAAGAGGCTTATTCTGTGATAACATCCGGCTGGATGTGCATTATCACACTTATTATATGCTTTCTTGCCACATAAGTGAATAATTAGACACAAATTATTGATTTGAGTTGAAATATTTTAGCTCTTTAAACAGACGTACATGTGTTATCTGGGGTTGTATCATTAATTACACATCTTTTCTCCACATAAATAAAGATGAAAACATACAATGTTATTTGAGAAGAAAGCCTTTTAAAAACACAAACCCTGTGTCAGAAATCACCCCATACGCTTAAATAGGGCACTTTTTGAGTGGACAGCCATTTTCAGACATTATCGAGTGCACTTATTCAATCCCACAATGCACAGCAATAACATGTGTACAACTGATGTACAATACACACAACAGCTAGAGAATACCCATAATGCACTGTGAGAGTCGCGCACCGAATGAATTCCCGCGTCTCTCCAGAAGATGAATCATCATCCATTCATTTTACAAAGCGCTCGCCCACAGCGTCATACAATACAGATATAAATTCATTGTAAATTGATCATTAAATTGTTTAATTAGGGTTTATACTTAATTTCCATGATTTCTCAAATACCGTATGACTGAGTGTTATTCTGCGTTGCTAATGACAACACACCTAATGAATAACACAGCTCAGAATGTCACGACTGACCAATCAGAATCAAGTATTCCAGGTAGCTGCGCAATAATTTCAGTTATTCACTGAGACCAATACAAACATGTTTAAACTAGAGGACAAACAGCTTTAACTAGTGCAACATTTAACTGAAAGCTTTTTGATTTAAAGCAAAATCACATTTGTATTTGTTCCTTATCATTTATTATATTTGGCGTACACTCGTTAGTATGTGTTTCTCTTTATATCAACTCAATAGAGACACAAACAGAATGGAATTAATGTTCTAAATGTATTATATTTAAAACACAAATGCTGTTTTATAAATATGTATTCAAAATCAGGTATAGTCAGTAATTAATCTGATTACAGGATTTTAAAGCAACTTTTTACTCAAAAAAAAAAACTGTGATTAAAATATAGTTACTAATTTGTACTTTGTTCCGCTGAACTCTGATTATCTTCTCTTCTGTTCCATCTTACAGTTTAGATAGAGATCCATCACCAGAAGTACCTGATAGAGTTCAAACACAAGAGTCTCTGATAGAGTTGAATCACCAAAAGCTGACACATTGTTATTCTATTTAATTGTATATTAAGTTAGCTATGTGTCTGTCTGTTGCTAACAATCACAAATCCTCTCATTACAACAAACAAAGCAGAAACACAGAGTAAATAAAAGATGGATTGTGCAGTTTTGACAGATGAATTGATTAAAACGGGAGTTTTCACACACAGTGAGTTTGTGCTGAACTGACTGACAGCTTCAGTGTTTATAAATGCTGTGCCTTTTACTCGCTGTTTGTGTCATTTTATTCACAATTTGAAGAAACGTTTGTTTTTATGAGACTTTGTGACTTTTTCTACATAAGTGCAAATAATGACATAAATATATGTTTAAATGTTATAATGGTGATTGCTGCTCACTATTCTGCTGGCTGTGATGATCATTTAATGTCTTTTTAGATTTTAAAATAAAAGTGTTTGTTTGTCATCAAGTGTTTGTTTTCCTACATTTTTACTGTTAGTTTTACAAATGAGGACAATCTTTGAAGAATGAACAAAATTCGTTTTGGTCATAATATTACAATAAGATTTAAATTGTATAATATTCAGATTTGAAGCTTTGAAGTGTGGTGTGAAGTATGTGAATGTCGAGGGAGTATTTAGAAAGACAGTTCCATGCCATTCTCAACAGTACAAACAGCACTTTTAAAATGTATTTGATTAAAACAGTTTATTAAAAATAGTAGTTCTGTGTGAAATATTTTCTCTAATCATTTATTTAAACAGCTTGGTGTCTGTTTT